CAACAGGGGTGAAATTCATTGCTTCGGAGAACAAAGATCGAACTATTTCAGTTTATCGTTGAAAAGATACATAATTGTGAAAAAGCATTGGCAAATACAGGATGAGGTGGTGATGTTCAGTAAACTGTAAGAATATCTAGAAACGAAGGAGGATTTGTCGATTGCTTCTTTCGGGAGAACACCCTTCGTTCCAGACACACACAACGAACATCCGGCCCACCACAGGGCTGACTACAAGGCGATGCAGCATTGGTTGGAAAAAATTAGAAAAGTTGTGAGCGGTAGAGGTGGAGAAACACGCTATAAATTGCATCTAACCAAAGTAAAAATATCGTGATTTTTAGGCTATTTTGGCAGTGGTACTAGCACCAACATGTGAAGTGCATAAAGCAACCCTGCTACTGGCAGTAAGGACATGTTTCAACATATATTTGGTCAGTCGGAGTCCAATTAATCAATCAACAGCAAAAGCCTCCTTGACACAGGTATCTGCATTTCTGAATTTCTTAATTACTTGCAAAGCTTTTGTGTTGACGGTTTGATTAATATGAATTTCAGGGGATTTTTTTAAGCTGATCTGAGCTATGGATTCACATCCAAAATTGCTATTCCGCATTAACCCATCCATCCCATAAATTTTATTCGTACAGCGAAAACATGAGTCTTTACTCTGGATAGATCAGAAGTTTCTGCGCAAGATTATGCTTCTTCCCTCGTTACGGAAATACTAGTTACGGAAATGATGCACGAAATTCCAGGGCTAAATTTGGTGAAATTTTAATTTCTAGGTGATCAACGCTGTATTTGGGAATATGTTGAAAGCAGAAGAAGCAGTTTCTCTCACGGATGAAAGTGACGAGAAGGTAGGTTGTGAACAGGATTACTTTAATTTAGATTGTCTTGCCATTAATCATCGGGAAAACTCGGCCGGCCCGGCTCCATACACGATTTGCGAAAATTTTTTTTGGTGAGGGCGGATAGGGTTGCTTTTTTACGGTAAGTGGCGGGAGTCTGAATGTTCCAAGCAAGTAGGGATATGCTGCGGGTTCATCCAAGGCATGGGGAGGAGGGCTGGGATAGGTGGATTGTCGGTTTTGTCGGTTGACTTTGTCGGGTGACTAGTTCACGTACATTCGGAACAGGAGGGGGTGGGATAAGGAGGGGTCGTTTTGCTGGATTTTGTTACGGATATCAGAAGCAAGAGAAAGACTGGAATATTGCTTGCTTCCAGAGTACTTTTGTAGTGGGGATGAAGAAGAATTCAGATGTTGCTGCGCGAGCAGGATTTAGAGACAGACAATGGAGGGGGAATTTTCTGAAAAATTAAAAGCGTCGAGTGGATCATGAGAAGAGAATACTAACTTTCTAAAATTAAAAGCATTGTACGTATGATGAGAAATACCGTGAGAATTGAAAGTCGCATTTTCAGATTGTACAGACCGTTGTTAACTATATGGTGGACCAGGTTGCAATGCAAAGCGATGAGCAATCGAGTGGGACTAGCCGTCAGGACAGTATCGCTATTGTATGCCTTTTAGCATTTTTTAAGTTTTGTATAATGTTTTATTTTACAGTCAAATTTTACTTTTTTCAATTATCACATCTTTATTGTTGAATTACTTTGTAATAATGGAGAAATCGGCGCATTTATTCGTAATGCAAGGCGTAGATGTTAGGCGTTTTGTTAAAAGAAATAGAAAATACCATAAAACATCAATGGATTAATTTGCACTGCTTCTTAAGAAGAGGCTACAAATGGAATCTTCTAAAAACATCGACAAAGTGTATAGCAAAAAAAGAACAGTATTTCTAGGCAGATCATCCAGCATTTTTGTAGCCGGCTACAGCCGCACCTCCCAGACTACTGCCAAACGCTTCTATCTCGCTTAGGGGGTAGAATACAGTGATGATTTTGGCGTTTGATAGCCGCTTGTAGCAAATTATAGTCAGTTTTAGCTATCGAGAAAATAATCTGGGCTCTAACTGGTGTCTCAACAGGAACCTTACTGAAGCGATTATTTAGCAAAGTAGAGATTTAAGCAAAGATTTAACTAATAATTTGACAGCCAGCTTAATTTACTTGATAACTGATAATATAACGCGCAAATCTAACTGGTGACTAAATAGCCAGAGAGCCTGCTCAAATTGTTAATTCAACAAGTTAAAACTAATCTAATATCACTCTGAAATTTGCAGTCGATGGCAGCAGAAGTGCTGGCTGCAGCGCCCCGTTCCTTGAATCCCGTATCACTTGCGGCCGATTCTTCAGAACATATCGGCGACGATGTGCCGTCGTTGCATCTGTATTTCCGGAGTGTACAGGAAGAAGATGCATTCCTTTTATTCCGAGCTCTTTGCAGGCTTTCGACGAAAGCACTTCCGGAACGTCCTGATCCAAGGTATGGATGAGTTAGTTTTTTATTTGTACTTTTATTTATCACTTTTTGTTGGAACTTTTTTCATAACTTTTAAGCTATTTTAAGTTTCTTAAGTTTTTTTTAAGTTTAATTTTTTTAGGTTTAAGTTTAAATTAAGTTTAAATTTTTTGTTAAGTTCAAATTTTTTTAAAAAAAATTTTAAAAAATTAAGTTTAAAAAAATTAAGTTTAAATTTTAAGTTATGAAA